TTTTTTCTGTTTTATTGGCTTGCAGAGGCATTCAGCTGTGTAGGCTATAACAAACTATGGAGAACATTCAGAAGAATGGGAATTGTAGACCACTAGATTGTGTTCATGAAGAGGCAGCCAGTCATTCAGCGAGAACAAGGAAATAATGTGTAGTTTAAAATTAGGAGAAATATGCATCAGCATTATGTTCTTTCACCAATTTATTCAATCTTTATGCTGAGCAAATAAGCCAAGAACCTGGAGTTTATGAAGATCAATCAGTGCCATTAACAAGCTGGGATAATGTAGATGATACAGCCTTGCTTGCTGAAAGCAAAAAGGAATTGAGGTATTTACTGAGGAAGGTCAAACACCTTCAATATGGATTACAACTCAATGTAAAGAAAACAAAAATCTTCACAATTGGGTCAAGAAGCAACATCATAATAAGCGAAGAAAACACTGAAGTTGTCAAGAATTTCATTTTACTTGGATCTACAATCAACACTCATACATGCAGCAGTCAAGAAATCAAATGATGTCTTGCATTGGGCAAGGCTGCTGCATGAGAACTCTTTAAAATGTGACAGAGCAATGATGTCGCTTTGAGGACTAAGGTGTCCCTGACCCACCCCCTGGTATTTCCTAGCACTGCATATGCATGTGAAAACTGGACCGTGAGTGAGCCAGACGACCCAGGACTGAATGCGTTGCAGTTATGGGTTGGAGAGAACTAACACATTTGTCTGGAGGAAGTACAGCCAGGATGCTCCTTAGAAGCAAAGATAGAAAGATGATCCCATTTGGGGGCCTATTGTCAGGAGAGACCAGTCCTTGGGAAAGGACATTGTGTTTGGTAAAGCAGAAGGGCAATGACAAAAAGACAGACCCTCAGTGAGCAGGACTGACCCAGAGGTTGCCAAAGTGGGCTCAAGCATGGCTGCAAGTGTGAAAATCATTCAGGATCGAAGTGTTGGACATACAGTTGCTGGGATTGGAAGCCAACTCAACAGCGCCTAATGAACCAACAGGATAACTAAGATTTAAAACAAACAAAAGAAAATAAATGTTGGTGAGAATGGAAGGAAACTCTAATCCTTATCTGAGAATGTGGAACAGCGTAGCCATGCAGAAAACTGGTAGTGCCCCCGAAACAAAAAGTAGCACAGTGGAAAATTTTAGTGAATTAAAAAAAAGTTATTTCCACGTTTATTCATGTTTCTTTGTGTACACATGCATTTTTAAGTTTACATTTAAAATGTTTATTTTAAAAAATCATAGATGTCCAACATAAAAATAATAAAAGAACCAAAATAAAGTAGTATGGGTTAGGATTAAGGGGAGAACTTCACCCTCCCATCCTTGCTACTTTCTTTCACACGCAAAAAAACACCCTTTAAGAGGTTTTTTATGTATCTTCCCAAAGTAACCTATTGCTATAATAACATGTGCCCCCTCGTTTGTTTACATAGAAGTACACGGTGTATTTTATATACTGTGCAACTTGCTTTTTAGAGGTTCTTAAGAGTTTATGTTATTTTGGATGGTTATTCTGTGCCAATCAATATAAACCTACTCCATTTTTCCTAATGGCTGTGTAGTATCATTTGAATGAATGAGGTATAATTTATTCATCTCATTTTTGATGTGTGAATACACATATATATTGATACATATATAGATTAAATT